CTTTCTTGGAGGCTAAAGCTCGTATCCAAGACTATTTCATCTGGAAGAGTATTATGTGGGGAAAAGAGTTATTGAATAAAGGCCTTAGATGGAGAGTGGGAAATGGCCAGAGTAATGACATCAAGGCTGACAAATGGATTCCTACCCCATCATCCTACACCTCAATTTTCCCTACAAAGGGGATGGTGGCCAATCAAAAGGTCGCATCCCTTATTCTCTCGAATGGTGATTGGGACAGGAATGCGGTTTCAAAYTGCTTTCATGTTGAAGATGTGCAATCTATTCTTAATAGTCCTCTTTCTATGAAGAATGTTGAGGATAAGCTTATTTGGCACGACAGCAAAGATGATTTTTACACAGTGCGAAGTGGTTACGGGCTGGCAAGTGATCTTCTTCACCGGGATAGTAATTCGAATGTGCAGGAGTTGTCTAAGTGGTGGAAAGTCTTGTGGAATGCAAATGTGCCCAATAAAATTAAAATTTTTGGTTGGAAAGCTTTTAAGGAGTTTCTCCCTTCGGGGTCTACTCTTGTTAAGAAGGGGATGGAGGTGGATCCTCGTTGTATCAGGTGTAATCTGTTTGATGAAAGCCCGATACATGCTATATGGTTTGGTAAAAAGGATAGGAAGTTCTGGGAGGCCTCGCCTTTCCTCTCCATCTCTCCATAAATTGGCCTCATTCTATGAGGTCGGTGGCTGACTTACTATGGTGGTTTTGGGAGAATATTCCTAATGATCTGTTTGAAAAGTTTCTGGTTATGTGTTGGGCAGTTTGGTCGTGGCAAAATAAATAAATTTTTGTTGATCCTAACGGTTGTGTTGGGATGCAGGACGATCTTTGGGATTGGTCTATCTCCTATATTACTCAATTCTAAGCAGCAAATAAAATCATAGGAGAGGTGGAGATGCCGAGAGTACCTGGTGCGAGACCGAATTCTCGAAAGCATTAGTCTCCCCCAGTTGATGACAATCTGAAAATTAATACTGACGTTGCAATCAGACTCGATGAAAATCGTATGGGTTTTGGTGCTATGATCCGTAATTCTAAGGGAGAAATTATGCTTACTCYTGCGAAAGAAGTTGGGTGTGTATGCGATCCAGCAATAGAAGAKGCGTCGGCGATTAGGGATGGATTGACAGAAGCGATTGAGCTTGRCTTCTTTAATTTGGAGGTGGAGTCGGATTCTCTTCAGGTGATCATGAAGATTAAGAACCCTCAGCCTGACACAATTCGGAGCTCGGTTGGTTGGTGAAAGAGGCGGTTCCTAAAATTCACAAACTTTTCTTATTGCCCTCGATCTTGCAACAGAGTTGTTCATGCATTAGCAAGAATGGCTATGGATGATGAGGTTTCTGGAGTATGGTTGGAGGAATGTCCCTCCCCTCTTGTTCTCGTCTGGGAAGATGACTGTCGSGCGCTTAGGGCCCCTAGTTTTTAATTCTATAGTTTTAATTAAGTTTTTAAATGTGTTTGATTATGAATGGTTCAAATTAAAGTTTATTGTATATTTTACTATTATGCTATCGTAACTAGTAAGATATTAAACTATTAATAATATAATATTTTAATTTTAAGTAATATAATATTTTCTTTACGGATCCGTTAGACAGTATCACTGACGTTATAAATACAGTTACTTATAACGCCAGCAATAACACATGCATCAATAAATGCCAATTTACTAGATATCTAAAAGTAACAAATAATCACAATCAATTCTAAAATTCAATATAATAGTCTAAAAACYAATCCAAATATTAAACAATATCATCTAGCCAAATTTCCTATTCAAAATAAGTTTCGGGAAAAAAAAATAAAGAAAAACTAATTTAAAAAGACTTTAAAATTAATTCAGTTGTAAAAAAAGTTAAAACAAATTATCTTTCTAAAAAAAATCAATAGTAAATAATTGTTAACAAATAAGTTTATCTTTAAGAAACTACAATAAAACAAACAAACAGAAACTGTTACAACCAAAGTTCAAAATGTCGATTGTCGATGAAAATGTCGAGGTCCCGAGGTCCCGATTTTACGGACATGTCGATGTCGACGGATATTTGGGAAAAAATAACAAAAATTGTGAAAAATAATGAAAATTATTTTAATTAGTAAATAAAACTTTAAKTGTAGCTTAATTAAGTTATAATTGATCACTTCTAACCATCATATGTAAAAATATGAGTAACTTACTTATGAAAATGTTGATGTCGATAGAAATATCGGAATAAGATAATGAAGATTGATGAAAATAATTTGAATTAGTAAATTGAAGTTCAATGTTRCTTARTTGTGTTTTATTGATAATTAATAATTTATAACCAAATCTAGTATTTAATTACAYAAACAAGATATGAAATATTGATATATAYACACACATGTACCTATAATGATTAAATTGAATTATTAGAAATGGGATTATAAGTTTGAAAATTSTGTAATTAAATTTGAAAAGAAAATTTCAAAAAAGAAATTCAATTTGAATAAAAATAAGTTAATAGTGAAAATTGAAATAAATGAATAATATTATTATTAATATTAGAAATTTAGAATTAAAAAAGAATTAGAATCACGGGAAG